GGAATCACAGGAGAATTTTGCATGGTTTTCACCCTTTTTTGCTCAATTCCACTCCAATTGAATTCAAATCACTTCATGGCATCATTTACCTGAAAATCTAACAATACACACCATAAACGACCTCATATATTAGTTAAAGGACATAAAAACTAAAGAAAAGAGACTAGAATGAGTGGTAAAATCAGCACTCACCAGAAACAAAACAACCAAAGACAAATGCAGAAATAGAGCAATACCAACAAAAGTCACTACCTAGGTACCGCCTCGTAGTCTCAAGTCACAAGAAAAATTTACTATCTTTCCTTATATCACCGCGGGAGCCTTGCATTTAGTTTTGAAAATTATTTTTCCGAAATAGCATCCCGTGTTTTAGCCCACCTTATCACACCACATGGCTTCTAATGGTTCCCCTACTAGCTACACGTATCAAGCCCGCCTTATCTCACCGCATGTGTTTCAACCCCAAAACCTTATACCACCGCATGCGTATCATTATCACAATGTATCATAAATCGCACCTCAAGTGCCCAATATCACAACTTGCAAGCAAAAACCAACAATAACAGTATTTTCACAATAAAGAGCCCCTGGCTCAACCACAATGTACACAAGAGTCTCAACAATAATAACCGGTAGTGAAAAATTTAACGAGAATAGTATTTTACAACTTAATACTTTGCCTCAATGTGAATCACGACTTTTATAACTCAATATCAATTTCAACAACAACATATTCCAACAATAACAACTTCAAGTAAAGAGTTTATGGTTAAATAATGAATAAGGAATAGAGGAAACAACAACAACTTCAACTAAACATGTAGGCAATTAACATATAAGAGATAAGACAAGTAAAGCATGTGAAGATAGCCTAGAAATGATGAATATAACATAGTAAGTTAACGCAGGAGTCTACATAGCTAAAACCGGTAAAATTTCCACATTTACCCCGTGCACACACTCATCACCTTGCGTGCACGGCTTTCATACATCACAATTATCACAAACAACACCAATCCTAAGGGGAAATTCCCCCCACACTAGGTTAGGCAAGACATTTACCTCAAACCACGCTAACTCAATCCACTAGTAGGCCTTTCCCTCGATTATCCAACTCCGAACGGCTCGAATCTAGCCAAAACGACTTCATACCATAAATATAAACTATAGGAAACTATTTCGAATAATAAAAATATGATCTTTGCAAATAAATAAAAACTCAACTCAAAAAGTAAACGGGGGTCCGCGCCTCGGAATCCGGCCAAAATTACAAAATCCAAATATCCATTAGATAACGAGTCTAACCATACAAGAATTACTTAAATCCGACCTCAAATTGCCTTTCAAATCCCCAAATTTTTGCCTAAGAAGTTTTTTTACAATTTTCCCAAATTTCAAACTCAATCACTAATTAGATGATGGAATTAACAATAGATTTGTGTAATTTAACCAAAACCGAGTTAGGATTTCTTACCCCCCAGTTTCCTTGAAAATCTCCTGAAAATCGCCTCACACCTGTGGAAAATCCATCGCAGGTGCGGTTCCAACTTAAACTCTGAGGTTCCGCTTCTGTGGACAATGGCTCGCACCTGCGATCCAGCTTCTGCGGAGAAGAAGACTGCACCTGCGGTCCTTCCCAAAGCCCCCTCCTCCAATTCCGCTTCTGCACAAGTTGGTCCACGCCTGCGGAGGCGCACCTGCGCCCAGGTGTCCGCACCTGCGAGCCCAGCCCTGGGCTCTCCTTTTTCACTTCTACGCTTCACCTGCCTCACCCTCGATTCCGCACCTATGGTCAATCCCTCCGCAAGTGCTATGACACCAGCAGGCCTGGGACTTCAGCAATGAGGCTAAGTCCAAAATTGATTCGGATTCAATTCGAATCACATCCGGGTCCTTGGGATCTCGTCCGAATATACCAACAAGTTCCAAAACATCTAACGGACCTACTCGAGGCCAAAAATCACATAAAACAACATCAATTCTATGAATCGCAACCCAATTCAAGCCTATAAAACTATGAACTTCCGATATGCAAAAACTAATTCTGATTCGTACCAAAACAACTCTGATTGACTTCAAATTTTTCACACAAGTCATAAATGACTTGAGGACCTATTCAAACTTCCGAAATCGGAATCCGACCCCAATATCAATAAAGTCAGCCTCTGGTCAAACCTTCCAACCTTCCAACCCTTCAACTTTCTAACTTTCGCCAATTCACGCTGAAACGATCTACAGACCTCCAAATCAACATCCGGACAGTCTCCTAAGTCCAAAATCACCATACAAAGCTATTGGAACCATAAAAACTCTATTCCGGAGTCGTCTACCTAAAAGTCAAACTACGGTCAACTCTTTCAACTTAAAGCTCCAACTTAGGGACTATATGCCCAATTTCCCTCCGAAACTCACCCGAAACCAAAACCAAACATCCCCGACAAATCACATAACCACAATACAACATAGAAGAGGCAATAAATAGGGGATCGGAGCTAAAATACTCAAAACGACCGGCCGGGTCATTACAAGTAGCATCTTCACCGGTCTAGCAATAATACTCATGATTTGTCTCCTCCAAGATACAACAACTCGACAATGTCGCATGACTCGAATAAATTCTGGACAAGTTGTTGAGTCCAAAGCTCCACCAAAATGAGCAGATTCCTTCAACAAAATAATACCCTCTCCGGTCCATAATAATTTATCATTTCACCTTTGGCACACCCATTAAGGAAATACGAACTTCTAGAAGAAGAAAAAAGGTGTATTCACTAAATTAACCTTAATTAATTGTTACCTTAACACATTGGAATATATAAATAAGGACAAATTTTGGAGAAAAAAATTAGTTCCTTCTTGATTATGTAAATGGACATTTATTTTGGACCAAAATAAAAAGGTAAAAGCATCACTTATTGTGGACCGGAGGGAGTATTCTATTTTGTAGAGAATAAGTTGGAGATTTTGGATTTTCTCAATTTGTTGGAATCTAGATATATCTCCCTAAGGGAAGTGAGGTTCCCTAAACAATTAGGAAGATCCTGAAAGTTAATTTTGACTCAATTCTATGCGACATAAGCGCTGCAACTTACAAAGATTATCACCAATAAATTCGGTAAGTGTGTTGTTGTTCAAGTTGAAGCGCTGAAGGTTTCTACCGTTGCGAATTAATCCAGCTAAGTCATTTCGAAAAAGATGAAGGCCTAGTAAGCTGCTTAATTTCCCAAGGTCATTTGGATTCACCCTTTGATTGTGCAATTATTGACGTCAAACCATGTAAAAGATGTGGAAAGGTTCCCTGCAGTGAATTCTATTTTAGCACTTGAATTTTACATGTTTCTTTTTTAGCTTTAGATATGCTAGTAGAAATAAACTTACTATTTCCTCTTAAATATAGTAAAATACTCAGGATACATTTACAGGGTATGAAAACTAGTATATTTTTAATCTTTGCTTTCTAAACTATCTACTTCCCATGTCAGATAACCATATAGGTATTTAACGGCGATCTTGATTCAATAGTCGTCTGGAAATTAGACTGAATAAGTCTTGGTTAAGCCGGGGCCAGTGTCAGAAGTTCTTCTATCTCCTGAGATAAGGTGGCTATAGACGTATATTGTTTGATTTTTAAGGAATAATGGGGTACCAGATTTCAAAACTGGACCAACTTCTGCCCTCATGTTATTTTGCGAGGGGATTTACTAGGCATTTAGCAAATAAATCCATACTAGTGTTTTCTGATGCTCTCGAAGAAGAAGAATAAGCACCCACTTATGTTTTGGTTATATCATTTATTCATTTTAATTTCAGTAGAGGACTTTCTCATTTTCTATATTTATAAATTCAACTCATTATTCAGTGGCATTGTATATATAGGTAAAATACCACTTTATATAGCTTATATATTATTTTTGAACACCCTTAACACAACTCCGAGAAGTAGAGCAGTGGCCAAGGGTGTTCAAAGTTTGGTGTTGTTAATGGATTTGAATCCTTGTCTAAATATTTTTATCCACCCATAAACGGAGACTGGAAACACTCACGACTCTGTCTGTTCTTTGGTTTTATGCTTACTTTTATTAGTTGATTTTTTCTTTTTTTATAATTCATTAGTTTTAATTTATAAAATTATAGTATTTAGCTAAATAATGCTTAGTTTGACTTAAAATTTTTGGTGTACATATTCATTAAGAAAAAATTATTGACTTCTTTAAAATTTGAACATTGATTCGATTGTTGTGTAATTGAGGTGCGTTGGTCTCTCCTTCGAAATTTGCACCCTCACATTTGGTTATAAAAATTAGTGGACGACTCCTTTTCTGAGTCAAACACTAGCACTTAAATTTCTTTTCTTGGTCTGCCCCTTGAGCTTTTTTCCCAATCTTTCTGATATACGTCACTACAACATACTATATCTATAGCTATCAAATACATTGTAGCTAAATATGAAAAATCTTGTGGCTAAACACTTTAGCCACAATATTTTTTTCCGTAGCATTCGTAGCAAAATGTAGCGTAGCTAAAAGTTAGCTACAAACTTTACATGATCCGTGGCTAAGGACTAATACTTATTGCCACAATTTTTTTTATGTTGTAGCTGTGATGGTAAAAAATGCTTGCCACAAAAAATATACTTGTAGCAAGTGGTTTTATTCTCTTGCCACGACAAATAAAATTTGTAGCTTTCTTCATATTGTAGCCACAAGATTTTGTATTGAAGCAAAAGATATAATTTGTTTGCCACACAAGCTCAACTTTTGTGGCTAAATTTATAATTTACTCTCGTGGCAATAGTACTTGTGTTTAGCTATGAATTCCATAATTTCGTAGCAATAGACTGAAGAATTTGCCATGATCAGCTTTAGCTACAAGAATTTATATATTGTAGCTAATAATCCATATTTTAGCATCAAATATATAAATTTTTAGGAAAATATTTTATATTATTTTTAATAAATGATATACATTAGTAAGAATACATAATTAAAGGTTCAACAATATCATTCAAGATAAATTAAAATATTGATATACTCAAAACGTAACGGTATTCTTTTACAAGAGAAAGAATAATTTCATACAGATCCATAGTACATAACTCTTTTACAACACGAATAATAAAGTTTAAAAAAAAGGCTAGCTAATGTGAGACTGGATAGCGATGGTAACCTTCAGCGGCCAGTGAAGAAGTGAAAACCCAAAAGTGCTCCAATATTTTTCTAATATGAGGTTTCGATGGCGAGTTGAGAGACATTAGTGGATTGTATTTGTACCAAATGCGTGAAAGAAATTATTGTTCTTGTGGATATCAAGAAGAAGGGCGCAGTAAATAAGATCTTATAGCACTCCATCGATTATCTCAGCAAGACGGCAATGTTACCCTCCTGATCTTGCAGGACTACCAACCTGTATATACAAAAATGACATCCACACCATAAGGTTAGTACATTAACTAGTTGGGACTTGTCAATCAAGTTTGAACAGAACAACATATTCCTTTGGCAGGGTAAGATTTTGCTAGAAACAACAATTCGCTTTTTTAAAACCTTCAGATTATTAATGCAATGTATATACCAAAAGACTGTAAACTGTTCAAAACATAAGCCTAATTTAGCTCTTCTTAGTTTGAAGTGCGACACTATAAGAAAATACTACCAATATCAAAAGTTGCATTTCTTCTTTGTATCTAATAACTAGGCGTTTCCAACTCTGAAGTCTTGTAAATCCTTAAGTTTGTAACTGCCAAAAAATTATATTCTCATATTTCTCGGCTCAAGGAAAAAGCACAAGCTAAATCAATTCAACATCACACCTGTTTCATGACAACAAATAGTCCTAGAGTACTCTAAATAAAATTTCAGAAGTCCTACAGATTTTAACAAGAATTTTGTAAGCACTCTATCCTTCACTATGTAGTATATCCAATTGAATTTGTTTTGAGAAAGAGTGAATTATTATACATACCTCATGGTTAATACACTTGTTTGTTTCTACATTGATGCCCATAACACAAGTGCCTAAAAAGACAAGAAAAATTTCTTGTTAATTCTTTTACAAGAATTTATAATAGATAACAAAAGAGAAAAGTACAAAGCAACAAAAGAATTAAAAAAAACTTGTAGACTTTTTAAACTTCTTAAAGAATCTTCATCCCAATTTTGTAATGTTGCTTTGCTGTTTCAGTCCATGAACTATGGCTCCTTCCAAAATTACCACTTCAAAATCTTTAAATTTTCACTCACTATATATAAAAAAAATAGGGCAGAATATTAAATTGCAGAATAATTCGCAAAATTAAAACCAAAAATTCATGTCAAGTAGGTATGAGAAAATTAACAAACCGTAAAATATAGAGATACGAGCTTACCTCTTATGCTCAAGAATAGAAAAGCTATGGGGTTCTCTCTCACTCTTCTTCTTTGTCGTTCTCGCATTTTTTAGTCTNGAAGAGAATTGAATGTAGTTTAGGTTTTGGTGCTTTTGCTTTGGGCCAATTGCAATTAGTGTTTGTCGTTCCTTTACTTCTTATTATATTCTTGTGTATTGCTTTCTTTTATTTCTTAATTAATACATCTTAATTCAGTATAAATGCAAAGAAATGTAAGTGCTAACAATTATAAGTAAGAACACTACCTACGAAAATATACAAAGAATACATATATAATTTATGTTAAGTAACATGGAAAAAATAAATTATTTGCATAAAATAAAGATATTCTAAATTAATTTTTTCTTTAAAGTTTCTTTCATCCTACATGATATTGTTAGTAGTTTGTTATATACTCCTATTTTTATTATATTAGATTCATTTTTTAGTGTTTAATTAGATTTATAAAAAAATTTATTCTTATTCAAATTGAATAATTAGTGATCAATGTAAATAATTACAAGCACAAAGTTATAGATTTACTGTATAACTACATATTTTTTTTAAATTATATTAGAAAATCACAAGTACTACTTAGTTTGATATGAATTATTATATACTAATTAATTTTTTTATACACTCATTTATCAAGCAATATTAAATTCTAAATTTTTTGAAAGACAAAATCCTCTTACTGTATATGAATTATATTAAATTCTTAATTCTTTGATTCAGTAATATAAATAATTTATTGTACAGTGTAGTTAGTACAATATTATAGTTGTTTAAATTTGATATAATTAGTCATGTACATAATTGTGGGATATAATTTCATTTTTTTAAATTATAATTGAAACTTATACAGTCAGATCTCTCTATAACAATATCCTTATACAATAAGCACTTACTTTAAAAGTCAAGTTTTTCTCATAACCGATTTTTATGTTATGTTATAATATGTATCCAGCATGCCAGAGGTACGGGGATCGATACCCCGCATCTCCATTGTTACTACTCCTTCGGGGTAAGGATAAGGTCTGCATACACACTACCCTCCCCAGATCCCACTAGTGAGATTTTACTAAGTTGTTGTTGTTGTTATAATAGGTATCCTCTATAACAATGCTTCACTATAGCAAAAAAAAATATCGGAACAAAAGAGGTCGTTATAGAGAGGTTTGACTGTACGTAAGATATACTTATTAAAAAAAAATTTAAATAAAAAGTTTTATATATTATTTATATAAAATTTAATATAGAAGATAAATATTTTTGTTGAAAATTTTTATTCACATTGCTTAATAAGATATGAAACTATTAGTGAAAGTTTTCTTATATTTTAAACATGTAAGTTATCTGTATTTTTAGTTAATTATAAAATTCATATTATATATGAACAACTCAATTTTATTTTAGTTTAATTTTTATTCTATTTAAATTCTATTTTAAGATTGAAAATGTTTTTCATTTTAATCTTTCTTATTTAGAAGTTAATTAATTCTTCAAGTTATATATATTGTTGTTTTTTCCAAATTTCTCTATGAAATTATTTTTTCATAACCGTATATATTTTTTAGACTAACTCTTGTCATGACTTTCATAGGCGAAGTAAAAGAATTCTTCTACAAATTTTTTTATAGCTAATTTATTATAATTAACATATTATTACTGCAATAATAACATTAATTGTATGACAATATATATAGGTATGGTCAATTATGAAAGGTAATTGTCTACTATTCATTTTGTCATGACAAATAATTGGAACAATTAAGCTAACTATTTGTAATTTTTTTAACTTGAAGCAAAAATATTAATTGACTACAAGATTGTATTTTAACTAATTTAATGTGTCTAAAATGTTATTATTGCTACAAGAAACTTGAGTCATTGCAAAAACTTATGAATAGCTATAAAATTTCAGCACAAAATAATAAATATGTGGCTATATCATTTATGACAAATAATTATAGTTATTGAGCTGACTATTGCCACGATTTATTTAAAAATTGAAGCAAAATTGTTGTTTCAGCTACATCATTTTAATTTAAATAATTCATTGTGACTAAAAAAATTATTTTGCTATAGTAAGTTTCAGCCAGTGGCAAATACTATTGATTAGCTATGAAAGTTTATCGTAACAAAATATTTGTGGCTATATTATTTTGTCATGACAAATAATCGTAGCTATTAAGCCAACTATTGCCATAATATTTTATAATTTGAAGTAAAAATATTTATTTAGCTACAATAATTTGTTTCAAAAAATTTATCGTAGCTAAAAGTATACTATTGCTACAGTAACTTTTAACCCGTGGCAAAAATGTATGATTAGCTATGAAATTTTACTGTAGCAATAAGTTTGTAGATGTTTAGGTAGTTATTACCATGAAAATTAGTAATTATAGCAAAAATAATGAATTAGCTTTGTAATTTAGTTTTGTGGCTAAGAAATTTTAAGAATTTATAGATAGCCACGAAATTCTAATTTTTGTGGCTATTAGTGAGTAATAGCTACGAAATTTAGATTTATAGCTTAGATTTCGTAGCTACAGATATATTTTGTTATAGTTGGCACCTTGAAGGCTTTAAAGTTCTTTAAATTTGGTTTGGAGTAGGTTTTGGTGTTATCAAGGTCTGTTTGGGATTTCGACCCAGGAAAAATTTCGTATAGTGATTTAAGACTTGCACGCAAAATTTTGTGTCATTCCGAGTAGTATAAGTTCGTTTCGGCGCGTTCGGAGTAAGTTGGAAGAACTTGAAGTTTATAAGTTGATTCAATTTGGTTTGAGGCGTGATTCTTAGTTTTGATGTTGTTTTATGCGTTCCGAGGGTTCGAGCGAGTTCCTTTTATGATTTCAAAATTGTTGGTATGTTTGGTCAGGGCCCCGGGGGCCTCGGGTATTAATCGGACTAGACACAGACCAAGTTTGGACTTAGAGGAAATGGCTGAAACTTCCAGGTGCAATCGCACTTGCGCATGGTCAGCCGCAGGTGTGAGCTTGCAGAAGCGAGCCAGTAGCCGCAGAAGCGGTCCAGCATGGGCAGCCCAAAAATCGCAGGAGCGGGACATTTTGCGCACCAGCGAACGCGCGGGTGCAGTGGAAGCAACCGCAGAAGCGGTCAAAGATGCAGGTGCGGCACCCGCGTCACAGCGGCGGACCCGCAAGAGTGGACCAGTGATCCGCAGTTGCAAAAGTAGGCCAACTGGGAAGGGCTACATCTGTGATGATTTTTCCGCAGATGCGGAGCCATAGAAGCGGGCATCCCTCCACAGGTGCGAAAATCGCTAAAGGCAGAACCTTCATTTAAGTCGGGACTTAAGCACTTTGGGTTCATTTATTGTATTTCCTGGGGTGATTTTGGAGCTGGGTAGAGAGGGATTTTCACTAGCTATTTGAGGTAAGTAATTTCTATCTAATGTAAGTTAAATACATAGTTTATGGGTAGATTATAACATATAAATTTGTGAAAATTATGGGTTTAAATGAAAAACTTAGGTTTTGATAGAAATAGGATTTAACCACGAAATTTGTTATAGAATTGGGCGAAAATTATATATTTGAGTTCGTGAGGTTATGGGTAACGACTTTCTTCAAAAATAATCGGAATCCCGGCACATGGGCCCGGGGATGAATTTTAGGAATCCTTCACTTGGGGTTGGGTAACCACTCTAATAGTTAGAATATGATCTTTTGAACATGTATTGATTATTTTTTATAACGTTTGACTAGTTTCGAGTCGTTTGGCACCGAGTTGGGATTTAAAGCATATTTGTGGATCGGATGTGAACTTGAGAACGAGGTAAGTCTCTTGTCTAACCTTGTAAGAGGAAACTCATCCCCTTAGGTGTGTTTGTTGTAAATTACTTGTGTGGGGAGCCACGTACGCACTAGGTGACGAGAGTCCGTGCGTAGCTATATTTTTCCATGTGATGTCCGGGTAGTCTTAGGTTTACATCATGCTTTGTTGGCACCGTTATTTGATTATGCATATTAATTATCTTAAATAGAGCTGAGATTGAGAATTGTAAGATTTAAAGCCTCCGGTTTAGACTTCTTCCTTTTTGGAAAGAATTGAAGAACTTTATAATAACTTTGAGAAATCTGTGTTCACTCGCGTCGCAAGCATTTTCGCGCGAGCTAAATTCCTCTACTCTCATGGGAGCAGGCCGTTTGCCTCGGCATGTTAATAGATGCATCTATGATTCGTGTCGTTCGACCCTCAGCAGGCTGGATTATTTCCAGCGGACCCAGCCACATTTCAAGCGGGAGGGGGAGCACAAACCCCTACAACCCAGGCTCATGGGCACGCAGTTGCCGCATATCAGACCCCGGGCACACTACCCGTGGGCGGAGCCCAACCAGTAGCAGCAGCTATACCTGAGCCCAGACCAACAGCAGTCGGCGAGCCGCATAAGCTATTGGACCGATGGACCAGGCTATACCCTCCTATCTTCGGAGGTGAGCGACATGAGGACCCCCAAGACTTCATTGATAGGTGCAGGGACAAACTACACAACATGAGGATATTAGAGTCCCACGGGTGGATTTTACTACTTCCCAGGTAGAGGGCAGGGCCCGTAGATGGTGGCAGTCTTATCTTCACGGCAGACCAGCAGGTTCTCCTCCTATGACTTGGGCCTGTCACACCTCTTTTTTACACACCTACCCCGAAGGATAATATATAAGGGAGTTTTTCCATTTAAAGTGATATTATTCGAATTGGAATTATTTATTTATTTTTTAGAGTCGCCACTTGGGATAGGATTGGCTTTTGGTGTCCCAAGTCACCGGTTTAACTTGAATCCCAAATCGAGGAAAATTCCGACTTCCCAGTTGGAGTCTGCGAACCAGAAATTCTGAATAAGGAATTCTGTTGACCCGAGGGAAGGTGTTAGGCACCCCCGGATCCCGTGGTTCTAGCACGGTCGCTTAAATTATTATAATTGGCTAAAAATCTGATTTTAATACATGTTTTCACTTATGTGCCTTTTAACTTTAAACCGCTTTTATTATTCTTTTTTAAAGAGAATTGCAACGTCGTAAAAATGCGTCTCGAACCACGTCACATAAAT